ACGATTCTGCCAACAACCGATTGCTATAACCAAGACTGCTAAATAAATATCCAAACCACTGAACTTTGTGTATCTAATTAACCAAATAAACGTAACATAATCGTACGTTACAGTCATAATGTTTTGGGCTTCCTCCTGATAATTGCCTTACCTATCACACATACGATGAGTGCATGAGTCCATATAATGAACTAATTAAACTGAACTCGAATTCAGTTAGTAGCATGATGACGCGGACACGGCAGCCAAGGCCTAAGCCGTAAACGCCAAAACTCACGTATAAAACTCAACTAGAAAAGATCGTCAGGACAAATGGAGGGGATCTTTGAGAAGCCACCGGCTTCCTATCCTCGTCGAGGCCACTAGTATTAGTGGCCCTCAGGTAAATTCTGGTAAAACTGCATGTGATAAGCATGAAATTGGGTTAGATCTGTGCATTCCAATTTCTGCTGTAGAAGCCGCAGTATTTCAGGAAATTAGGGATGACAGAAGAGCAGTCACTGCCATTCAAAGGCCAGAAAGTACGAATATAAAGAGCTATGACATGTTTAGAACCGAAAATTATATGTACGGACAGCATATAACATCCACTAGACAGTGTGACATTGTAATTGCTAGAATTAGGCCTGGATATAGATATCCGTGGCAGGTGGCTGCAGGTAATGAATCCCCCATATTGGTGAATACTCCAACTGTAAACTATGTGAACAAGAGCTGGGACATACTCTCCAACACTATATTTGTGATTACCCTGATATCAATGATTTCAGACCAAAAGGCATGAGCTACTTTGAGCTTTGTAACTACTTCATACACTCCCTTTAATATTAGAAGTACTTATAGTGTACTCCGTACACTATACTCTTCGAATATTGGAAGATATTCTTGTGTTGTACCAAAAATTTTGCTAGAGGAGGCTAATAGATCAGCCGCATTTCATGTTCTCTCCTGATTCCATGTATGACTAACCATCCTGTGAGACGGAGAATATTAAGTGAACTTATAACTAGTTTTTGGGCTATATTTTATAATCTTTTATAATACTCTAATAAAATCAACGCAACATGGGTTTGTTAAAAATAGCTCTTGCCTTGCAAACTTGCTTACAATTTGGAAACGGTAACCAGCTATTCATAGAAATAGCTAGAAAACTTTCATAAAAAGTTTTCTCTCTAGGACCTCCAGTAGATGTAGTATACAAGGACTTTGCTGACGGTTTTAATAAGGTACCACACAAAAGACTAGCAAGGAAATTACGGGCACATAGAATAAATTGTAGAATACTACAATGGATAAAACAATGGGTAAAACAAAACAAAAAATGGGTCGTCCTTATCAGAAATGAATTAGACGAATAATATGGTGAGTTGGGTACCACAAGGCATATACACCAATGATATAGATGAGAATATTACAAACCACATCACCAAATTTGCAGAAAACACTAAGATTTTGTACTTGATTTACCTGATTTATCTGAGGGCCTCTAACCCTAGTGACCTCGACGAGGACAGGAAGCCGGCGGCTTGTCGGAGGTCCTCCCATTTGCTTTTCCAGTTAGATTTTGAAATTCAGCACAGTTTTGGCAGTTACGGCTTCGGCGGGTAGGCGGTTCCATGGGTTAATAACCCTGTGGGTGAAAAAACATCTCCTGTTCTCATTCCTACATTGTGGCTTGAAACTGTTGCTCCTTGTTTGTGTTACATATGACCTTCTGAAGAAAATATCCGGATCAACATCCTCTAGATTATTCAGTATTTTAAAAGTTTTAATGAGATCCGCCCTGTCATGGCTGGTTTACAGTGTTGTTAACCCTATGGCCATCCTGCGTTCCTGATACGAGAGATGACTTAGCTCTGGAATGACTTTTATTGCCCGGTTTTGCATCTTCTCAAGAGCAGCTATGTCCTTCTGAAAATGAGGTCTCCATCCTTGTATACAGTAATCCAAGTGGGGGCGCACCAGAGCTTTATATAATTGAACCATTACCTTCTTTACTTAATAGTCAAAACTACACTTGATTATCCCAAGAATTTTGTTAGCTTATCAAACTGCTGCACCCACGTGTTGTGCAACTTTTAATGAGTGGTGGATCTTTACTCCAAAGTCCCTTTCTTCATCAGTCTGCTGTAATGTAATGCAATTAATTTGGTAGTCGTGACGTGGGTTGTTATGCCTCACATGCAAGGTCTCTCATTTATCAATATTAAAAAGCATTTGCCAGTTTTCTGACCATTTGTGGAGTTCATGTAGATCTCTCTCTGTAAGGATTCAATGTCATTATCATTTCCCACTTTACCATAAATCTTAGTGTCATCTGCCAATTTGATGATGTGATTTGAAATATTCTCGTCATTGATATATATGACAAAAAGGGTTGGTCACAAAATGGACCCTTGTGGCACCCCACTTATCACATTTGTCGAATCCGATTCGTTTCCATTTAGCTGTGTTTCATTTCCTTCAACCATTGTTTTATCAATTCTAATAGTTTACCATTTATTCCACAGGCCTGTTATTTCCTTGCCAGTCTTTTATGTGGTACTTTATCAAAAGCTTTAGCAAAATCCACGTATCTAGAGCGAGTATAAAGATTACTCGCTACAGGAGGGATAGGGTTATAGCTTGTGTAGTTAGTGCTAATTAGTTATGCCATTAAGATAATGGGATAATGGAGCGAGTATAAGGATTACTCGCTACATATACTACATCAACCGGCAGGCCTTTGTCTGAGTAGCTGGTTATCTTTTACAAAAATGTGAGCAAATTTGTAAGGCAGGATCTGTTTTTAACAAATCCATGTTGTGTCGGTTGTCCAAGGTTGTTCAGTGAATGATTCCTTCCCTGAGGAGTCCTCTATGAGCTGGCAGATGTGTTATGTGAAGCTGATCGGTCGGTAGGTTTCTGCTGAGCTCTTTCTGCCTTTTTTTTAATTACAGGATAACATTTGCATATTTCCAATCTAGAGGGATTACCCCTTTGGTACAGGGATTTTGTGAAAAGTAGTTTCAGCCGCAGGCATAGTTCTTCTGCCAGTTCCTTTGAGACTTTAGACTGGATTCTATCCACACCTTGGGATTTAGAGTCTCGATGTTCTTTCTAATCATTTCGTATGTTATGTGTATATTCCTAAATTCCTTCTCCTTTATGTAACCTTTAAAGTCCACTTTATGTAAAGTGGAAAGTGAAGCCTTACAAAGAGATCTATCTGAACTTCACAAATGGTAGGAAGACTGGCAAATGCTTTTTAATATTGCATGTGAGACATAATAATCTTTACCACAACTACCAAATTAACAAGATTAACTTACAATAGATTGATGGAAGAAAAGACGTTGGAGTCAGAATGCATTATTTATTTATTTATTTATTTATATACAAGAAGGTACATTGGGTTTGTGAGAATACATAGCATAGTACAGTAATTACACTCTTGTAAAGCCACTAGTACGCGCAGTTCACTGAAAGTTGCACAAATGGGAGCTGCATTAAAAAAAAGCCTAACCAAACCCTGGGAATAAAAACGCGAACATTTGACTTAAAGGAAAAGGAGGTAGTTATTCAACTGTATAAATCTCTGGTGCGTCCCCACTTGCATTATTGTATCCAAGCATGGAGACCTCATCTTCTGAAAGACATAGCTGTTTTGAAGGAAGTTCAACACTGGATAATAAATATCATTCCTGAATTTACCAGAGGGCCATTAAAACTAGTGGTCTCGACGAGGACAGGACGCTAGCGGCTTGACAAAGGTCCCCTCCATTTGCCTTGATGATCTTGTCTATCTGTATTTTAAAACCTAGCAGAGTTTTTGGCATTTGGCGAGTCGAATTAAATCGCCTCTCATTCCAGGAATGATTGAGGGCCACAGGGCTAACAGTACTGCAAACCAGACATAACAGGGGTGTCTCATCGAAACTTTTAAAATACTAAACAGTTTGTAGGATACTGATCCAGTCAACTTCTTCAAAAGGTTAGATATGTCACAAACAAGGATCAGCGGTTTCAAGTTCAACAAGCCACAATGAAGGACTGAAAACAGATGCTTTTTCGCTCATAGGGTTATAAACCCATTGAACTACCTACCCACCGAAGTTGTAAATGCCAAAACAGTGCTGAATTAAAATGCATCTTGAAAAAAACAACAACATTAGGACGAATGGGGGGACATTTGACAAACCTCCGGCTTCCTGTCCTCGCCGAGGTCACAGGAGAAATATGGTTGCCCTCGGGTAACTATATATAGGATAGGGTAGCAGCACATTGCTGTGTATACCGAACCTTATTAATAACAAAATTATAAACTGAGTGGACTGTTTAAGTATGTTAATAAACTCTGTAACTGGCTTATCAAGGCTGTAACCTGGTTATGTGGCTCTGTAACCTTTCCACTACCACTCCCAGGATCTGTGTACATCCATTTTTGGCTGGATGTATAATATATTTATTTCACTATTTATCATGATTGTTAATTATATCACTGTTTATCTACTAGAGTTAGAAACAGCAATATAATAAGATTTATACTGTAAACTTGTGTCAATAGTTTAACATTAACGTAACAATTCTTAGTATTGTTGCCATTCCTTTTCTTAACATAATATTAATAATTTTTATTCATAAACGATATATATATATTTAGGGTGTTACATTGTTTAACATTAATTAATATGTTAGAATAGAAAACTTATTTAATAAGGCCACAATATATATAACTACGCAGACCATATAATTAAGTATAGGGAATTTACAAAGAACAATAATGGCGAATGGAGACACCAGCCACGTATAAGGTTATCGCATATACTATACTCCTATAAGAAAGGGTGTATACGTGTGTAATATACGAAATATAGGTCGGGTGTATAAGTGTTGTCAGGGCTTCTGCTGGATACAACTGCTTCTCTCAACTAAGCTTACCCACCGGGCAACCTCATTTCACTGACATATACTCATTTTGACCCACATGCCGGTTGAGGAGAGAAATGAATGTGTGGATGTTGTATAATGATGTAGATGTGTATGAGTGAGAGGCTATAAGGGCGGGAGCGGCCCCCTGGCGGCAGGGTGCGGGTCACGTGACGTGACGTCAGCGCCGCGACGTGGCAGGTAGTGGCAGTTGTGTCCGCCATTTTCACCGTTTGTTACTCTGGTAAGCTCTTTATATCTAGTTAACTGCTAGCTTCCCACGCGGCCAGGTGACGTACAGGGTTAGCAGCTGTGGGAGGGAGTGTCTGCAGGTCAGCTTGTGGGTGGAATAAGTTTACATTTAGGGGTTTTAAGGGCGTGATGGGTCGAAAAATATTGATGTTGGGGGCTGGCCTGGATGTTTGTGTATGTTATCGGTGTGCCGGTTCAGTTCTTAGAGACCTTTTACTCCTGGCCACAACTTCCGTCGGCTCGGGCAGGTCTATATAAAGCCAGTCTCTGCTCTCGACGAGTCGAGTCCTTCAAGGATTGAGAGAAAAAAAAATTAATAAAAATTGCCGACGTGTTAATGTGGAAGGCTCCTGTCATTTCGTCATCCTATTTCCTTTGTCGGCCGGGGAGCCTGGGCGTCTTGTTGGCACACTCGCTCTCGTATTTCTTAGTCATGGCTTTAGGAAATACAGATTTGCAGATTTTTAATTTTTTTGTAAGTGATAATGTTTGAGGTGAAGGGTGTGGGAGCCAGCTGTCAGAGCCAGTGTGGGCACAGGCCTGTCGCCCACGGCCGCTAGGCATCTCCTTATTGTCCTTATTTGTTGGCTTGTCTCGCTTGGACTTGAAATAATTTGACTGATGTATGCAGTTTTATGTATAAAATCCAGGGGTATGGGTGGGGGTGCCTTTTCCTCCAGGGATGGACATGGTGTGCGAGCATTTGCTTTTTCGTCAAAATTGACATTTTTCATTGTTGCATTGAACGGAAGACATTTAATCCCCCTGATTGTAGAGTACTGTACTTATGTTCTCAGAGTATGTTGTGGGGAAACTCTTGTTCATGGGCAAGAACAAACTACAGAAGGCCTAGTAAGTTTTCGACAGGTGAAATTTATCGCCTAGATTTATGGCCATATTGGCATTTATGTAAGCAATTGTACTCTGTAAATTATGACTAGAAATTTGAATCGAGTGGACTAAGTATTTCTGGGCGTTTCCGAAGTGCTTGTACATTTTTTGCTGTCCCCTTCAAGCCATCTGTTTTAAGATTTAATGCTTAGGCAAGAATAACTATGGGTAGAACTGACATGTTCTAGACCACTAGGTAATGTAGGAACTTTGCCCTGCACACTGCTCATGTAGCCAATGGTGGCTTGCCTTACACCCACTTACCCTGCATCTGACCAATGTGAACCTAGCCCAAGACTATAATGTATGAAACCTTAATTATTCAAATTTTTAATGCCAATTGGTAAGAACATTCCTTGTTTCGCATTTCCCCATAATGTATGTGTACAGTACAACCTCGATTCAACGTACTATATGGGACCAACCCCTGGTTGATACCTGGTTGATGGGGTTCTGGGAGTTCTACTCCCCAAGCCCGGCCCGAGGCCAGGCTTGTGAGAGTTTGGTCCACCAGGCTGTTGCTTGGAGTGGCCCACATACCCACCGCAGCCCGGTTGGTCCGGCACGCCTTGAAGGAAACGATCTAGTTTCCTCTTGAAGATGTCCACGGTTGTTCCTGTAATATTTCTGATTCCCAGTTCGTCGGAGCGTTGGATTCGTTTCAGGAGGCGTTTGTCACTTTTTTTTCTTGTACGCAATAAAAATGCATTATCATATTACATACTGTACCTAATATATTACTTCTCTACTAAAAAAGGCTGTAATTCATAAATTTATTTTATTGAAGTTATGTCTATCGAAGTTTCGTGAAGTTGTGAATGCTCTACAGTAAATACGTGCTGTAGTGCATTATGCCGTTAGCACTGTTGATTAAAAGTAGTTCTGCTGTATGTTTGAGTATTACAATGCAGTTTATGAAAACTATTGTACACTAAAATTACTGCAACTTTAATTTTAACACTGTGTACGCTCTTAAATTTAACACTTGTTCTAACTGTTTACGCCACACACGATGGTTTTAGATGTTTGCATCAGCTTTGCTGGTGCTCGCTGCTGCTGTGGGTTCAGCTACTTCTGAGCTGGTGCTGGCTGCTGTTGTACCAGTGCTGGGTACGGCTGTGCTAGTGTTGATTGATTTTCTGCTACTAGTTCTTGCAAAATATTGCTTCATTTTTGGCATTAATAAGGCACTATTAGTAAGCCCCCGAGACATTTTGTTTTATAACCAAAGAGCTGTAGTAAAAAAATGGTCAATTCCACAATTATTCCACCGGTGGATAAATACTGTACGTTAATCGCAGACAAAGCTAAGGGCACTGGGTGCATGCTGTATGAACGCAGAGTTATACGTACACCCTTCAGTAGGCTGGTGTTTAAGCCAGATCCAGTAACATAAATCTTAAATATTTGATTTACATCAAATTATATATTTTTGGGTTATTTATTTAGTTTAACATTATTACGGTAATAAGAGCTATAAAAAATACTTTGGAACCAATTTATTAATTTTATTTTATCGAAGCCGTAGATCACTGAACTGTTGACGAAATCTAACACAACAAGCATGGTGTGTGTGGACAGGGATTAGACCTGTCCATTCGTTCTGGAGTTGTGCCGCCAATAACGTGAATAATTTTTCAAATAGCAAAATATCATATTACAGTATATTTTTGGTTTTATTTAGTTTAGTTTTATTAGGATAGTTATTAAAACACCAGTTTTAGAAATGATTTATTAATGTGAAATGTTCAAAGTCATGGGTCACTGAACTATAACAGACGAAAGTGAGTGAAACCTCACTGTAAAGTGAGGTTTACTGTACAGTATTCCCTTATCTGTCCACCCTCACTCATCTTGTTACATCACAGAAAATGTATACAAGATTATTTCAACACATTAGCTAGTTATTCACGCTTCAGCCTTTAAATTAATTTGCAAGATATACGTGCCACAAATCGGTGAATGAAAATCATTGAAACTTGTCATTCACTTGTGTGGACGACTGGCTGGTGTTTGGTTAATGCGTCACTTCTTGTATGGACCATTTTGGCTGGTGTTTGGTTCATATGGTTCACTTGTTGTGTGGTCTACTTGTGTGATCCAACTTATCTTATGAAGGAATTATTAATAGTAGTCTGTGATAGAATGAGACAATTTTCCACCACTGTGAACTGTTTCAACATCGTAAGCTTGTGGTCCACTTGTGTGGTCCAACTTGTCATATGAAGGAATTAATAATTGTAATATGTGATAGTATGGGAAAGTTTTCCACCAGTTTGTGAACTGTCTAGACGTCGTAAGCAAATCTGAACATCCCCCGCTTCGGCGAACTATTGTTTGTCGAACCGGATGAGTAAATCTGGCCTGAAAAGTGTGCGAACTAGCCGGAGATTCATTGAATCGAGGTTGTACTGTAATAAAATTTGAAGCTGTCTTTTGCAACAAGGAATATGTAAATGTATCAAATGCTAGAAATAGAATAACAATTTTAGAAAAAGGATCAAAAGTAGGTTGGCACACTGAAGGGGAAATTGAAGCAATAAGAATTTCTTGGACGTACCATGTAATAACCGAGGTGAGAACTAAGGAAGAGATTTCCTCACCTGAATATTGGGTGAACTGCTAGTTTTTTTCAATGTAAAGAAAATAAACATAGGATTACTCCATGGGCATTGGGATGCAAAATGCACAAAGGACAAGGCATGGAGAAATTAAGATGCAAGAGGGCCAGGAATGAAAACCTCGGCAAGAAAAGCAAAGAATTTGTGAATGTTAGCAAAGACCGAACCCAAGCTACACCACAGCTTGAAAACATCCTGGGGGAGGACTTTTGCAAATGTCTTTGGCATGATTGTGGTGGGGGCTTTTGTATAAAATGTCCTGGGTATGTTGTGGAGAGTTGAATAATTGGTGTAGCCACTGGGTGGTGAATCTTATCAATGTACAGACTTGAGGGGCTTGGAGCACAGATTGGCAAAATATTGAAAAAACTATAAATACACAGTTTTGACCAATTGGTGCATTCCCAACCATAAACGTTCCGGGCATCTCGGGATCCCACTTGGCTAAATCTAAAATACTTGCATGTATTCCAAATGTTTTCTAAGTTTTGGTTAGATTTTGTAAACACTGTAGTTAAAATTTTTTTTTTTAAAGTAAAAAATGGACTACACAACAAGTGAACCATATTAACCAAACACCATCCAGACTGGCCACACACAACAAGCAAACTACTATATTAGTGATTGGCCCGTTCATACAAGTTAACGATAGTGTTTCCATGATTTTCGTTCACTGGCTTGGGGCACACTTATCTTTGTCAATTAATTTAAAGGCTAGTGTGCTAGCTACATGTGTTGAAATCTCCTTAGACATTTTGTGATGAAACGAGGAGTGAGGGTAGACCGTTAACCCTTAAACTGCTCATGACGTATATACAGTATATGCTATGAGTAACATGTCCCACAGAGTGCATGGCATATATATATACGCCATAGGGTGCCAGGCACGATACAAATGGCCCACAGCTACACGGGGTTCACATCAGCTTCCTCAGGACTCTTCTAAACAGGCACCATGTTTAAAAAAAAAATCGTGGGTAATATTCTCCAGTGTGAAAGCCACAGTACTGTGGGAGCAACAAGAGACTGGCGCACGCAGCATGAGCCAACAGCATTGCTGTTCAGCTTGTGACCACAGCAGCGCCTAAAAATGGCAAAATAAATGTGTAACTGCTATTATTTAGCGATGACAGTATTACAGATGACCCCTGACTGATAAAAATGACTGATTGATAAATAGTGCTGTGTGGGAGGAGTAATGCTGAGGGAGGGAGGGAGATAGCGTTGTTTACCGACTGTGTGGTCACCTGTTGTCTGCATTCACCATACCAGCTCAATGGTTCTCTATGGTGAACACAAATGTAGATACTTGTATATATAATGTGTGTTAGTGTAATACAGCAAAAGGATTATGTTGGGAGGAGCTGTTTGGGTGACGGAGGTGGTGTCGTCTGCATGACTTGTCTGTGTAGAGGGTGGCCACTATGCTCTTTGGGCACCCTACAAGCTTGGGTGTACAGTTACGGTGCATACAACATGTAGATACTTATATGTAATGTGTGTAGATAGTGTAATAACACCACAAACAGTATTGTTGGGTGAGAAATTTTAGTGCACCTGATCTTGAACGGTGAGTGAGGGAGGCAGCTGCCTGTGTGTAGTGATGTCTTAGTGCCTGAACTAACTATATCAACTTAATTGTACAGTTGTGGTGAACAAAACGTGTAGATACTTGTATATAATGTGTGTACTGTATAGTGTAATGACTGCAAAACTGTTTTATAAATGTAATGCAGTAATTGAATCACTAATATGAAACACCATACTTTTGAGTATAGTGATGATTCACACATTTTATTATATCAATCTATCATACTACACACTTGAATAATATTATTGCAAAAAACTAAATCAAAATGAAATAATTAGGTGATATCTGTGGCAACTCCCACCTGTTAGTTCGGGTGACGCTGACTGCCTTTTGACGACTGCTCTGTCAACGCCCACATTTTGCCAGACTTCCTCGGCCTATCGCGCCCAAAATGTCGCCTACTATTATTTTTTTTTTTTTTTTTTTTATGCTCGAGGAACACTTAACATTTTTAGAAGACGAAATAATTTTTTAGAATTTTTTTCTTGCGTACAGGGGTGTAAATATCCTCGGGACCCTTTAGAAGCTTAATAGTTAAGGGGAAAACTGTACTGTAAACCTCGCTTGGTTTTCCTTCATCTGTGTTGTCATAGTTCAGGGACCCCCATGACTTTGAAAGTTTCAGATTATTAAATCATTTCTAAAATGGGTGTTTTAATAGCTCTTTATTATCCTAATTATATATCTAAACTACAGTAAATAAAACAAAAAAATATACTGTAATATGATAGACATCTGCTATTTGAGAAATTTGTCACTACTCCAGCGCAAGTGGAGGGATCTAATCCGTGTACACACAGCACCATGTGTGTTTCGTTAGATTTTGTCGCCATAGTTCAGTGCCCTACGGCCTCGAAATAATTTTAATAAGCTATAAAAATACTTATTTTAAACTGATTTATCGTAATAATGTTGCTAAACTAAATACTGTATACACAGGTTATAAATAAGTATCTACATGTTTTGTTCATAACAAACCACTAAGCTGGATTGGTATCATAGCGATAAGTGGCCGCCACATACCAGCCAGCATACCTTCCCTCCCTCGCCTCACCTCACTCGCCAACACTCCTCCCACCATACCATTTTTGCTTTTAATCACTATATTCAGATGTTGTATATAAGTATCTTTACCATATCTTTGTTTACCATAACTGTACAACTAAGCTGGTATGGTGAGTTCAGACAGCAACAAAGGTTGCAACACAGCTGATCCTGCCTCTTCTCACAAAGATTCCTCCTCCGCCATATTGTTTGTGCTGTTATACTATATACTCACGTTATATATAAGTACAGTGGCTCCTTGATTAACGCGTTTAATCCGTTCCGGCACCGAGCTCATCATGTGGAAAACTCATCTTTTGAAACGGCAAAAATAGTCTTGTTATCTTGAGATGATTTTGGGGCTTTTTTTTAGTCGCCGCGGCCCGGTCCTCGACCAGGCCTTCACCCCCAGGAAGCAGCCAGTGACAGCTGACTAACATCCAGGTACCTATTTTACTGCTAGGTAACAATCGTTGGAGGTGTCCGAAAACCATCGGGAACACTCGTTAATCGAGCGAAAGCTTGTCAGTCGAGACATATTTTGTGAGCGGCTTGCTCGTTATTCGAAATGCTCGTAACTGGAGCAGCTCGTCACTAGAGGTTCCACTGGACCTGCACTTTTCACCATAGGGAACCAAGCTGATGTGGTGATTCTTGACAATAACAGGTGGCCCCACAGGCAGCAGGTGAAGCTACCTCCCTCCCTCCCTCAGCATTACTGTTCCCACCATACAATGCACAGCACTAATTATCACAACAATCCTGCTATTATCAGAATCCTGTTCATGTTTATCACAGTCAGGGGTCTTTTGTAATACTATCGCTGAATTATACCGGTTACATATATATTTTTATATTAGACGATGCTGTGGTCATAAGCTGAACAGTGCTGTTAGCTCATGCTGCGTGCGCCAACCTTGGTTGCTCACTTAGTACCGAGGCTCTCACACCCGGGAGAGTGAGAGAGCGAGCGAGTTGCCCACGATTTTTTTTTTAATGGAGTTTGTTTACAATAGCAGTGAAGAAGCTGATGTGAACCCACTGTAGCTGCGGGACTTTTAAATCTTGCGCAGTACTCAAACACACATAGCTGTGGTGCACAATTCTGCGACAGTTACTTGCCACAGCAATTGATGTTTTGAGCGGTTTAAGGGTTAGTGGACACAAACTGCATCGCTGCTGAATGAAAATGTTTACTTACAAATTTTGTGGAAAGGAATTGTATAGTTAATTTTATCCTATTCCACATTACATAATATGGCAATTTATTCTCATTAAATTCCACTTGCCACATTGTGCTCAAAACACTTATTTTACTTATGTCAATTTGAAGTACAAGTCAATTAAGTGTTCATGTGTTAAGTATTGTATTCCATGGATTTTGTCCAAAAGTTCATTATCACCCTTGGAATACAAAGAGCAGTCGTTGTAAATGTAGAGAAACTTTGTATATTATTATTATTTTTTTTTCTCTGCATTATTTGGACTGGAGTAGGAAGACTTGGTGATTTAAAAAAAAAAGTTAGTTGTCCAGGTAATATTCTCTATTCACTATCTACTGTGGATTAGCATTACCCTAAGCTTGTCCAAATGTTGTTCATTAAGCCTTTATGAAGTTTGGCAATATGTATTCTTGTACTTGAACCACTTTCAGAAATATGTACTGCAGTTGTAATGTAACAAATAATTTGTATGCTACAGTAATGCAACATTGTTACATTACATTGCAACTATACATTGCAACTATACACATTACAGCTACAGTATTGTGTAAAATATTTACCTTGACAAGTCCTTAAAAATAGCTGCATTTTAATTGCATATCTTTAATAATAATTGTTTTTTTTTTTCCACAGGCTAAAAAGCATCATGGGGAACTTGATGGCAAATCTATTCAAAGGCCTTTTTGGCAAAAAGGAGATGAGAATTCTCATGGTTGGGTTGGATGCTGCTGGTAAAACTACCATCTTGTATAAGCTGAAGCTAGGTGAAATTGTCACCACAATCCCAACTATTGGTAAGGATTACTGTGGATAAGTTATTTATAGATTTATGCAAGAAATTGTACTTCTTTTTTTGTTGCTGCTGCTTTCTTATATATATTATACTATATTATATTATATATAGTATATAATATGTACATTATATATAATATATACATTATATATAATTTATATTTATATATTTAAATACTTCCTGTACATAAGTTACATATCCCTACCAAATGGTTAACAAGACTTGAAAGCTATCCATCCTTTTTAATGTCTCTTAGCATCTGAAGGCAATAGGTGGGCAAGTTCATGTGGCATGAAGTAGTTTGAAAAATGTTAGTCTAAATTGTTTACAGAAAATAGTAGCAACTGTTCCTGTACACAATAGTTCGAAAGGAGCTATGGCATATGGTCTTGGAAAGTGATGAGATAGTGTGGTTATGCTTATCAGTTACTTAATCAAAATAAAATAACAAATGTATGTTTGAGGCTTTAAATATTTCTAACCTTTCACTGTATAATTGGACTGCTAGAATGAACTAGTTTGAGCATGTTCTAGCTTTGCCTACCTCATCACACTATTCACCTAGTTCACCTAGGTGTGCTTGCGGGGGTTGAGCTCTGCTCTTTCGGCCCGCCTCTCAACTGTCAAATTTTGTCACACACCCCTCCCTCCCCCAGAAAGCAGCTTGTAACAGCTGTCTTAACTCCCAGGTACCTATTTACTGCTAGGTAAAAGGGGCATCAGGGTGAAAGAAACTGCCAGTTTGTTTCTGCCTCCACCGGAGATCAAACCCGGAACCTCAGGACTAGGGATCTGAAGCGCTGTCCACTTGGCTGTCAGGCCCCACTAATCACTAGTCAGCCGAGCCCCTCTTAATCACCCCTGTTCACTAAGACTAATGAACAGATCCTGCCCAGGTGAAACTGACTTTGCGAAAATTAATACTGCTCATTCAAGCTAGAAATATTTTGGTGCATTGATAAAATCACTTAAATTTCAAACTTAAACATTATTATGCCAAAAAAAAGTGTGAAACTACTAACAGTGGTGGTAATGTTGCCAAGCCTCAATTTCTATGCCTTTGAAATATTAATACCTGCATAATTTATAACGGTTAACACAGTGCAATATGTACACTATTTTTATATTAATGACATTACACTGGTGCAGTTTATGTACTGGTGGTAGTGTAACGGTTCTATTGTTACGTAAAGTATGGTGACAAATAAACACAGACACTAAGATACTATATATATATTTGGTCGAATATACAGAAGTACACCGGTGATACTTTGGTGTGAGTTGAGCGCACTGAGTGTCGGTACAGTATCTCGCAAGTGTCTGCTCTAGACCACACTTGAAAGTAGACTCTGGTTTAATATTTGCTATCCTGCTGCTTATATGCCCGGGCAACTCCTCACCGTATTGCTCGGGCAACGCCTCGCCTCATTCATCTCCAAAGGTTGATAGGAATATTAACAATGCATTTGGAGCGAGTATATTATTGGATAATCTACTCGCTACAGTAGCAAGTGGCAGACAAAATTTATTTATAGACTAAGCTAAATTGACTAAACAAGAGGCGAGGTGAAATTACTACCACTACTACCCCCACTGCCTCTTTACTCTTCACCCATACTGATGGCAAGAGACAGTAGTCTCACTCTGAAATTTTTTGAAACATCTCGTGTTTAAATGTTGTATGTGTTATGGTACATGGCTGTTTAAACTGTACCTAAGAATTGGCTTCACCTTGTGGTTTCTATGTAGGACTTGAAGATCCAAGTGTTTTACCATCTGCAATAAGTGTTCGGAAATGCTATACTGTATTAAAAAGTTTAGTTGTAGAATATATTAACATAATCCCTTAATTTAGGGGCATAAATAAGTTTACTTCTGGTGCCCATAGAGTAACAGTGGAAGGAAGTGGTGGTGGTCTGTTGTGCATTGCCCATACTATTCATTATCATTGGCACCCCTCCATTTCTGTGTGGTGGTGTAACTTGTTCCTATATTTTCACTTGCCCTTTGTTAAAATTGGACATGTACAGCTATTAAAAAAATAAAATAAAAATTAACAATTATTTTCACAGGTTTTAATGTAGAAACGGTGGAATACAAAAACATCAGCTTCACTGTTTGGGACGTAGGTGGTCAGGATAAAATCCGACCATTGTGGCGTCATTACTTCCAAAACACCCAGGTAAGAAGATTGAATGTTGAGATTGTAGTACAGTAGTTTAAATTGGGTTGGGAGACATAAATATACAAACAAATCTATGTAGACTTAATGCAATTCTTTGAAGGCTTTACTAAGTAAGGTTAGTGTTGTATAATTATAAAAGGTGGCAAGCATTTTGTGAACATGCACAAAACATTTGGGTGTCATGAGGTCATCCCTTTGGGGAGGTGGTGGGGGGGAGGCATTTACAGTATCCCCCCCTTCCTCTCTCTCTCTACCTTGGGTTCCTGAGTTGACTTGGCCTCTTCTCATGGAGAGGAAGGGGTTGCAAGGGGCTAGACATTGGGTGCTCTGGCTCAGGTTGGTTGTTAGTGTCAAAACCTGAGGGGCTGTTTCTAAAGTACATTCATTTTTAATCTCCCAGTTTTAGCAGGATGCTATCCCAGCTACTCATAACTCTTAAACTGCTACCGTTGCCCTCAAGTGATAGATACCTGTGCAATCTGTGCTCTTACATAGTTTGGGCAATTTAGTAAATCATTTTTTGATTGGCAATTAGACAGGCTGGCCTGTGCCCCAATTCCCTGTAATTATCAAAGTGTAGTTACAGAAGAAAAGTGCTGCTCATAATGTAAAGTCTTCCCAACTGTCATACAACTTTAACAATATTGATGGTTTTAACATAAGCAGACTTCTCACTTGCTCCAGCCATCTAAAACTGTTTGTAAAAGAACTTTTAATGTTTTTCTGGTACCTGTTCTTTAGCTCGAGTCTGACTTTTCGAAGTTACAGGTTTAACAAACTTCCTCTAGTCCATTTTGCTTCCTCTAGTCATTTGCATTTTGCATTTTGACTTCCTCTAGTCTGTTACTATTTTGTATGTAATGACTATGCACCACTTATTTTCTGATTGTTTGGGTTGGCATGTTTACTGCGCCCAGCCTCTCATAGCTTTTTAAGGGTTGGGAGCCCTTTAGTAACCTGTCTTTGAGCCCCTTTAATTTTGTTTTTCTTCATAGGCACCACACCAGTACTCCATGTATTTCGTGTGTGTGCCATTTTGGAAAGATTCTGATGGCCCTAATTTTTCCTTCCTGGTCCTTTATAAAAAGATTGAGGTTCCATGTTTGGTGCATCACGATCCATTGACACCCAAGGACCATTGATGCCATGCAAAATGGCAAGGACTTTTATGGCCCTGGTAGGCCTTAGTGATGGGGAATTAACCTTTACAAAGGGTTAAATTGAAAATTATCCCTCAGTTTGACTTCAATCAGCATTTTCTCACCTTGAGGACTCGCTCACTCTTCTCATTCACCTTTAGAGACCAAACTAAAATGAATAAAAAAAATTTTCCCCAACACCTCTAACATTAGTAAGCAATTAACACTTTTGCACCTCGGGCATGCACGCCACCACCTTTAGAGGTCATGCCCCCTGGCGTGTGGGCGAGCGTGCGGCGACACCGAATTGTGTGTACTCGTTTCAGTTTTCTCACCTTAATTCTCGTGCTACATCGTTCGTTTTGGTATCATTGTGTTCGCAATTAAATTCCCTGCAGATGTGTATGCATATAATGTCCAAAAGCCCGGCGTGACTCCCTGCAGCAAAGCCTAAAGTTACCCGTGAACGAGCACCAATTTGCACACCGCAGCCTAATGTGTGTACTCGTTCAGTTTGATAACATCAATTTTTGTGTTACGTCTTTCATTTTGGTATCAAATTGCTCGCAATATAAAGGCGCCTATTTTAAAACTATTCCCATAATAATAGAGCAATAACTGGAACTTGAACAAATATTTTAATTTTGGACGCTAATCATCACAAATGTTATCTTTCCAGTGTTCTGGAATAAATGTGTTATATCTTTCATTTTGGTATCAAATTGTGATCACTCTAAAGGCACTCATTTTGAAACTATCCCAAAGTCGATTGGATAATAAAGGAATTTTATACAAATATTTTTTATTGGACACCAGCACAGTCCAATGCTCAGACTAGAGAGAGAAAAATAGGACGCAGGGTCGTTCGAAGAGTGCGATAGTGTTAAGATTTTTGAATATTTTGGGAGCATGTGCACCTAGATATCTACCTGATTTTAGGTGCAAAGTACAAGGGGATTGGGGGGGGGGGGGTTTGATGCATTTAAAGATCCCTGTTTATGGTCTGCACTTGCCGCCCTTGGCCTGGTGTGCAACCGATTAGTTCTTACTCGGAAATCTGGACATTACTTCAGAAATAGATCTGCATAACGTTGATTTTCACTTCCTTTATTTTTATAGCAATGTGTGCGCATTTGTCATTTGGGTATTCTGGATTGGCAAGAAATTTCACAAATATTTAGTGTTTGTGAGGGTTCTTTTGATGTTTGAACTATATTTGCTCCTATCCTTCCCTGTGATAGTTTGACAGCTTCATATAGATTACAGGTTCCCACAATGGTGGTTGTCAGTCGTGGTTGATCACATAGCTCAGACCGTTAAGTCCGAGGTATGAACAGTCTGAACCTAACAGCCAAGGTTCTCTACTTTTTGTGCCACTGGAAATGTTTTCAATAACTGTGTAGAGATGGGTTCCCATACTTAAGCTTTCTCTTCCTCAGCTAAAGGAAGAGAAATTAAATGCTAGAGGCACCTAATCCCCGACTGTACATGTGATTGGGCACCATTCCTTTCCCCTGTCCCATCCCAAATCCTTATCCTGACCCCTTCCCAGTGCTATATAGTCATAGTGGCTTGGCACTTTTCCCTAATAATTCCCTCCATGGTTTTTGTATCTGCTTCAGATGCTTTGCAAAGATTTCTGCTCTTCTCTTGTGAAGTGCAGATTTCATGACTGTACTTTAGAGTTTGTTGACAGTCTTGAATTACCTTCAGGTGTCTGCTTGGCTGTTCTTTACCGTTTGATTCACCATTTTTCATGGTAGTTTTCTTAAAGGGTAGTGTATAGGGTGCTGGTTACAACAGAAGCTTCTTTCTAGGTATTTTGGCTGCAGTTTGCCTCTTGTTCCTACATTTTTCTCAGGGTTCTGGCCAAAGTAGGTGTTATACTGCTCCTTTTAACTACTTTGCAGGCAAGTTTTGAAAGTAGGTGCCCCTCTAGTATTTGTTGGCTAGCAATGTGTGCTAACCCTGCTAGGTTAGGTTTTTGTTTACCTAACAGCTTGCTAGTTCAGCAAATGTGATTTTTACCACATCTTATTTTTATAACCAATTTTGTGAATGGGGAAAATCCTTAGCCCATTTAATTCAAAGTTCAATCTGTTTCCAATGTATATGTGAAATGTTAACCTGTTAATTATAACTAATAATTAATACAAGAAACTATCAACTAAACACTAAATAGTGCTCGTTTTTAATTATTAAAGGAAGCAATTGTGTATCAACCATTCATTTCTGGCCTAACATAAATTTGTGCTCTCCACAGGGTCTGATTTTCGTAGTAGATTCTAATGATCGAGAACGTATTGGTGAAGCAAGAGAGGAACTAATGCGAATGTTAGCTGAAGATGAACTCAGAGATGCTGTGCTACTCATATTTGCAAATAAGCAAGTCAGTATTCTTCCATTTTATGAACTTTACAGTATTCTGCTTAACATTTGCAATGCTATAACTGCAGGACATTGGTCATTGCAAGTGGTATCATGAAATTATTTATTTTTTCTTGTATCTGAATTTGTATTCCTTGCAATCTAATTTGGCATCACTAGTGCATAATATTTTAATTACTGGATTATTGTAGTTGGAGGGCAGCAAGCTTGTTAAGTGCAATATTGCTATTAATGAATTATTATTACTGTTTAATAGTCTTTCTATAAAGCTTTTCATACCAGTACATGGTACAGATTATTCATGATTTGAAAAGATGTAACTTTGTACCTGCATGGAACCCAGAAAGCAAGGACAAGTTTGTGTGGTTGTGGAATGTGAGAAGGGACCAAAAGTTGATCATGGCAATAGTTTGATGTAGTGATCTTGTGATCAGAGATCAGATGACTGGAAATGATTAGTGGAATGTGGTGTTATAACAAGTGGAAGTAAGAGATGTAAGGAAGGTGGTGGTATTTATATAATGGACTAGGTACAGGGTTGTGAATCTTGGTGCAATTAGTTTGAAAATAATGGTAACGATTCTTATTGCATATGCACAGTGATGCCGGAATGGATGTGTTTTTTAGAGTATCCTAGAGAATAATTTGATTAACTCTTAATTTTCATTGAATTACATTGTTTGGCTTACATGGCAAAGTACATGACCTATATGCTATGAAGCTTTCTGTAATTGAATACTACATCACCTGTAATTTTATACAAAGATTTGTTAAACTGAAGTTTTCTTGCAGGATCTCCCCAATGCAATGAACGCAGCAGAAATAACAGATAAATTGGGACTACATTCACTGAGGAATCGCAACTGGTATATCCAGGCAACTTGTGCTACAAGTGGGGATGGCCTCTATGAAGGTTTAGATTGGCTCAGTAACCAGCTAAAGAATGCTAATCGCTAATCACACCACCAGCAGCTCACACACATTAAGTGAACTAGTGGGCAGTGATTATATCAAATTTAGGTTGCTGGCTTTGATCACCAAAGGCTCTTGTTGCCTATTCTGCACAGAAAACAAGTGATGACAAATGACTATCATCATAATGGAAAATGGTTTAGAAAAGTTATTCAGTGTAACAAACACTGTGAATATGTAAGTTTTGTGGGCGATATCCTGCAAAAATTTAGCATGAATTCAGGCGGCGGGTGGATGGCGCCTGAGAAAATGCAGAGTGAACAAGTTATGGGCTGGACAGTGCAGCAATGATGTTACCTCACCTGTGTCAGCAATGTGTGAATGATTTTAATAGTGGTGAACGGAGGAGAACGAGCCTTGCTGTCTGTCCAGTCTGCAGTATTGACTTTAAAGCCTGAGGTCAAGTCATATTGGAGCCCAGTGTTCTCGAGTCTTATTGCAGAGCGGGAACTTAATTATTAGGACTTGGGCCCCCGTATGATGCTTGACCGAGTGTAATGCCTTTATACTGGTGTAAAAGTCTCGTATGTGCTCTTCAAAGAAAGCAACAAAAGATACATCAAATTTTATTCTGTTCTCAATCTTTATTGTTCAGTTAATCAGATTTTATAATTGTTCTCAGTTTAAGGTAGGGACTTTTATTTATTGGAATGTTTGCAGCTCACATCTGTGTTAGAATTGGTGCACTTTGCTTGGTCTCTTTAAACAAACAAAATCAAAGGTCCGTTTAGGAGGTAGGACAGACACTTGAAAGTTTACTTTTGTTGGAACATTCCCGTTGGCATAGAATTGATGTGGAGCTACTGTATCAGTTAATCAACTTTGATGTCATATGTTTTGTCATTGTTTCAAAACCTGAATTTCATAAAATATATTACCAAAATACTGATGTCCTTTCCTTGGTACTGTTAAACTTGAGCAGGCAAATTTCCATATAAGGATACTAGATAAAAGGTGGTTTTCTGACTTCATATGCTCTTTAAGTGTAATAAAACTTAATTTGTGCTTAATGATTTCTATGCTGTTATCCTAAGGCTGCCCTAGAAATTACTGTTATAATGTGTTAGTGAATATTTTAAGGTTGGAACAAATGCTATATTTTTTGTGCAAGCAAATATAAGAAGCAAGGAAAAAATTTATTATTGATATAGTGTCTAAATATTTTGATTGGAATAAATATTTAATTTAACAACATATATTATTCGTATGTTAACTTGTTGACCAAAACATTGAATATTAGTCGGGTTATCTTACTTTAAAGACGTGTCAGATTATGACAGTTGTGGAACTGGAAGGTATACAATTCATAAAATAATAAGTTTATAAAATTTAATTGCTTGCAGAGCATTCACAGTTAAACTATCCAAATAAAATGTGAAAAGAATGAAGTGGAGGCAATTTCAAGGACTTGAAAACAAAGCTTTGGCTTGTTTGGGATTTTGTTTCAGTTGAGGGTTAATACGAAGTATGGAGGCTTAAGTTAAGATAATACTTTAGGGGGGGGTTGTGCATGAATTATTTGCCATATTGTCCATATTCTAGTATAAATTTGATTGGACACTTTGTGAATACTATACAGGTACTGTGCAATTCATGGTAAAAATTTGGAAAAGTCACTTAGCATATTACAATAAATATTGCCATTAACATTATCTTTGGGTTGTGAGGTTAAATGCTGTTTACAGGGCAGTTAGATGTGGTATGAGACCCATTTTATGGCCACATAATTGGTACATGACTAAATTTGGATTTATATTCTCATAAATAATACTGAAGAAGTTTTGGAAGCTGGACATATGCAAGGCTTCAGCGATGCAACGCAACGGGTGGAGCTTGGCCAGCATGACATGACTCCTCCCTCGGGATGTAGCAGGTTCTGAAATGTTTAGTCCCAGGACACCCTTGGACTAGACTGACACTGAAGAGCTCGGGTTTTATGCTAACCACAGTGGTGTTTTCAACAATGCTGAACATATTTAGGACTTAAATGGCCATTGAACACTAAATGTATTGGTGAATAAAATTAAAATAGATACCTTTTGAGCTTTCTGTAACGAATTCAGAAGAAACTATTTTCATGACCATACAGCTTTGAGTTGCAGCACCACTTGAATTTGTGGTTTTCAATCTTTTTGAGAATGGCGCTATTTCCTCCTTCACCCATGTCCAAAAATCAAAGGGGTTGCAACTCTAGAATCTGCCTACAGGATCTTTCTTCCAAACTTAACTAAAATCTGGATTTTGGAGAAATACTGTGAAAATCCAGATGGTAGATTTATTTAAAGAAATTGTCATAACTTTTCTTATTTTTGCTTATTTTTTACTTATAAATATTCAAAACATTGCATTTATATTTATAAATATTTTACTGAACATGTGCTGTGCTAAAGAATATACTAACGATTATTTTTTTACATTGAGCTTTGGGAGGTCAGTTGCCCCTATGCCTAGACATTTTCACCAGCTTTCCTTCCAATGTTTAATATTAAGAGTTTAATTAATGTCTTGCTGCAATAGGAGTATGTATGGGTACAATACAGCATAAAAGGAACTTGAACAGTGTACAAGAAGGCATAGTTATTAGGTAAACATGATTGGGGCTGGGTAGGTAGCTGGCAAAGAAGCATGGCATTGGCACTAGTGTTGACAAGCAGTCATATAGCTTGTGAATAAATTGGTAAACATGGGGGTTCAGATGATGCCGTTTACTTATGTATGAAGCACTGTAGTTTAAAAAAAACTAATATATAGCAGAGAATGAAATTCACCATGAGAATAGAGAAATATTGGGGCTAGTTCAGGGTGACCAGACATTTAGCACACATTAATTTTGCTGCCTTTGTTAGCTTATGCTTCAAAAAGGTAAAATTTGAATTTTGTGAATATATAATTATCTAGGTACTGTATACATAAACATTATTACCAAAATTTGGATTTCATGTAAATCCTCATCGGGTCCAGAATGACTGAATATTGGAGAAATCATTGTACTTGGGCCCGATACTTGACATACATAGATGGTTTCCTTTAAGTAGCCAATTTTTCTGTAGTGCTGCTCAGACAATTTGCCACGGAATTAGTCTGGCATTCTGTTATCGGTCATACTGGAGAAGCAACCTTTCAGTGTAATGGCAAAATGCATTACAGTGCAAGATGATGGAAACTTAAAAAAAAAAAAATGATAAAGCAGTCACAAGTCTCCTAATGGGACCCTGGACCCTCGTAGCCTGGTGGATAGCGCGCAGGACTCGTAATTCTGTGGCGCGGGTTCGATTCCCGCACGAGGCAGAAACAAATGGGCAAAGTTTTTTCACCCTGAATGCCCTGTTACCTAGCAGTAAATAGGTACCTGGGAGTTAGTCAGCTGTCACGGGCTGCTTCCTGGGGGTGGAGGCCTGGTCGAGGACCGGGCCGCGGGGACACTAAAGCCCCGAAATCATCTCAAGATAACCTCAAGATAACCTGGAAATAAACCTGAGGGAGAGCAGTCGAGTGATCCAACTTATACATGGCTCAAATTCCCAGTAGGACCTGAAAACTACTACTAACGTGGAAGGGACAACTGGGGAAGGCTGGGCTAAGCCTCTATCCAACTCCAAAACCCTCAGATGCTTTAGAGCAGGACCTAGGTGGGGGTGGATGAATAAGACCAAAAGCAGGTTGAACTGTACCTACAGGTGGAAATCAACACTATAGGGCTTCCAGCTGATCAATATGCATCGAATGCTTCACATGGGCAAACAGATCCTATAAAATGACAGCTGCCTAGAAAGCCTCTGACTAGGCAACTTATCCTCTGACCAAGCCCATTCCATCCAGTGGTCGACCCCAAAGACGCATTCATTAATTTAAATATGTTCATTCAAAATAGGAATTTTCTCAAATATAAACAATTAGTATATATTAGCATGCTGTGCATATTTAGACATTGGTTAAGTTCGGTGTTTAAGTTTTGTTGGTAATTATATGAATTTGCAGTACGTGGGTGAAGCATTTACAGCGTTGTGGGTCGAACAAGTCGTCAGCGAAGCACTTGTTCCGGAAGTGTTCGGACGTCATCAGTTGTGAGTCGTGTGTGTAAACAGTTTTTAATTAAAACGGGGTTTGGCAGGTGCATGGAATGGACTTCGGCCTTTGTTTATGAGGATGGGCTGGACTAGGTGAAATCCATCAAGTGTTCTAAACCCAGCGAGAGAAAAGCTCACAGGACTCAGCATTGTAAAGATCACCAACCCAACAGACAACATGTTCGGGGTAGAAGAATTATCATCGTCGGGTAGGAAAGACGACAAACACCCCTGAAACTTTCAAATGGCAAGACTGACCTTGTCAGGCCATTTCACAAGAACAGTGACAAAGACCAGAGGGAATTCGCAGGGCTCGAAGGAAAACAAAGTGGGTACCCTAGGTACCATGGCCACTCACCTGAAGAACAGACACCAACCGTAGCCAAACCAGCAGTAAGCGACCGTTGCATGCCATGCAAACAATCCCAGTGCACTACAACCCATCCTAAGACCAAGTTAATTCCAACCAGCTGGTGACCCCATAAATGATTCATCAATTTTAACTTTCTGTTCAATAAAACCGTAATTTTCTCATATAAATTATTATTATTATTATTATTATATATTAGTATATTGTGCATATTTAGGCACTGGTTAGGTTAGGTGTTTGGGTTCTGTTGCTTATTATTTGTATTTCTAGTACATGGGGTGAAGTAATTATCAAAAGAAGGCACCAAGCCAGGAAGATTATGTAGCACCATCAAATGGGCGGGATAATCATAATCTGAATATCACTAAGGATGCCAATGTGAAAACAAAAATGCATAAGGCGAACGATATCGAGGGTATCCAATTCACCAAGAATTCTATCGACAGACGTTTTGGAAGTCGGGACATTCAACAAGGATATGCACGACCGTAAGAGGGACAATGCAATTTGGACATGGAGCAGGGAAGCGCTCCATTAAGTAAGTAATTATCAAAAGAAGGCACCAAACCGGGAAGGCTATGTAGCACCATCAAATGTGCGGAATAATCAGAGGGTGCTAAATATGCAAATAGGATGCCAATACGAGAACAAAAACGCATAAGGCGAACGATATCAAGAGTATCCGAGTCACCAAGAATTCTATTGAGGGGACAGGTGACCGCGAGGGGCAGTCGGAAAGCAAGACACGCTCGTCCTGGAAGTCAGTACATTCAAGGACATGCACGACCGTAAGAGGGACAATGCAATTAGGACAATAAGGAGCAGGGCGGCGCTCCATCAAATGACCATGGGTTAAGCGAGTATGGCCAATACGCAGCCTCGCCAGAGCCGTTTCCCATCGCCGGTTATGGTGGTAGGAGAATGGCCACGAGGAAACAACATTTAAGAGTACGTAGTTTGTTACCAGTAACAGACGACCAAGAAGCCTGCCAACGGGTAAGGATGGAGGAATGGATAACCGGGTAAAAGTCGGAATATGGAATACCTTTACGAGAGATGGGACAAGAGCGGACAGCTTCCTTGGCGGCAGGATCCGCACGCTCATTTAAAGACACACCAATATGGCTGGGAACCCAACAAAACTCAACCGACTTGAATTTACTGTGATCCAGCCAATGCTGGATCTCGACAACTACTGGATGAACTGGACTAAAGGACCCGAGAGCCATGAGGGCACTACGAGAGTCAACAACAACTACAAAGGAAGACTGACAATGAGAAAGCAGGAGACAAGGAGCATAGAGACTAGCATAAAGCTCCGCTGTGAAGATGCTATAGTCTCTGGAGGTAAGCGACACATATAAGTGCGTTCAGGAAAAACAACAGAGTAGCCAACACCGTCTGCAGACTTAGACCCATCGGTGAAGACAGAAACAAAGCGGGAGTGAGAAGAAAAGTGCTCAAGGAAAAGGCGTTTTAGAACCGTAGGAGGGGTAAAAGCTTTAGTGATGCGGGTCAAGGATGTACAAAACTGCGGAAGGGGTACTCTCCACGGGGGCAAAGAAGGAACAACACGAGGAGAAACATTAGAAATACGAACGGAAAGAGAATCCTGTAAGCAAGATAACCGGACAGAAAGAGGGAGGTGGTGAAGAGGAACAGGAACCGCAGGAGGGGTAAAAGTTAAAGCACGACAGAGGCGAGAGGATGTTGTAAGGACTGCGCAGGATAGCGAAGACAGTAGCGATCACGGCGGTCCTGGAGAGACAGGAAGCCAGTGTCAACATACAAGCTAAGGACGGGAGTCGAACGAAAGGCACCAGAACTGAGGCGCAACCCAGTATGGTGCAAAGCATCAAGACGGCAAAGAGTAGAAGGAGAAGCAGACGAGTAAGCAGGGCAACCATAATCGAGCTTAGACAGGACGAGAGAGGAGTATAAAGCAAGGAGAGTGTGCCTAACGGCTCCCTAAGAAGTATGGGACAATACCCGAAGGAGGGTAAGGGCCTTAGAGCACTCAACACGGAGGTAAGAGATATGGGGAGACCAAGACAAACGAGTGTCAAGGAATAACCCCAAAAGCTTCGCGGAATCTTTGTACTCAAGGAGATGACCATAAAGTGACAAAGAGGGACGAAGAACAACCCGTTTCCGAGTAAAAGTCATGGCACAAGTCTTAGTAGTAGAGAACTTGAAGCCATGATCGGTGGCCCAAGACGACACAGCATCAATCGCAAGTTGAAGCCGGCGTTGAAGGAGAGGCGAATCATCACCCTGACAGCAAAGGGTAAGATCATCGACAGAGAGCGGAGAAGACGCCTGAAGGAAGAGAGGAAAGACCATTGAAGGCAACCAGAAAGAGTAGTGCTCAGAACACTACCCTGGGGCACACCTTCGTATTGCTGAAAAGAGGCAGAGAGAGCGGTATCAAGCCGCACCCGAAAGGAAGGACGCGAGAGGAAGCTGCGGAGAAAGAGTGGGAGATGACCACAAAGGCCAAAAGAATGAAGCTGGGATAGAATATGATATCGCCAAGTGGTGTCGTAAGCCTTTTCCAGGTCAAAAAGGATGGCAACAACGGAGGTCTTCGCAGCAAAAG